GGTGTTACTGGTAATGGAGCACAACGACGGAATATTTGAGAACAAGAACCATTATTACCAGCATCGCCTTTATTAAAAATGCCGATGAATGATGAAAGCAAGAAAAGGAACGCACGAAACCTGCATTTTACAGGCGGCTGTATCGAAACGGAAATTTGTATGAAAACATATGCAAAATGACCCACGATATGAACCGTTTTCACTCGACGATTCCTTTAACCCGCGCCGGGCCGGTGCTCTGAGATTCCGCGCCGGGCCGCGGGGGGTGTTTGAACCCCCCCCCCCCCTTCTAACTCGGCTCCTGGGCAACGTAGCGACACGAAGTTAGCGGCAATCGAAAGAACGTCAAAAATAAGGACGAAAACTCTTCGGTCATTTTTTGGGTCAGGTCAAAGGTCAGGTCACCAGAGGTCACCAAAGGTAAAATGTTGACTATTTCAACCTTTTGGAAACTGCCAACGGCTATCTCGGGAACAGATAGAGCTACAGCGCCGCAAAAAAGCGCATTCGATAGCCCTTTTACAGACGTTTCTGAGTAATGCCCTCAGATTTGACCTCAGGTCAACGGTTTAGCCTCCAGAGGGCAAAAACTCCAAAAATAGACGGTTTTACGAAAAACGTTTTTTTCGGCAATAACTTTTGACTCAAAAGAGCTATGACATTACTTTTGCCAGCATGGTGTTCCTCTCGTCGAGACGCGTCGAATAAACTATAATTTGACCTTGAAAGGTCAACTTGAAAATTTGACCTCAGGTCAAGGTCATGACCTGACCGGAAAAGGTCATGTTGCATATCAGTCGATCCGCAACGTCGAGCCGAACACATCTAAGGCGTTTTCAGCGCTCTAGCACGCCTCTATCAGAAGTTATCATCGAAAAACTGTTGGATTCTGTTCGTGACCTGAGATGACCTCGGGGACATAACGAGGGGTCACAGTTGCCATTTCCTGGTTCAGTGTGTCTATTTTACCTACATCTCGATGTTTGAGAGTGTCTAGAATAGCGTTCGTGCAAAACAGACGCTTTTCAATTTTCTCCCATTGACTTATCCCACGAGCCGCTGGGGGGGGGGCATAAAGTTGCCCCCCCTTTACGTTTTGTGAAATATCTCCGAAACCTGATGAGCTACGAACGTGAAACTTGGCATAGCTTCAAATGAATACCTAGGCATTGTTTGAGGAAAGTTTGGTGGTTGTAGCACCTAAGATGACGTCACAGTGACGTCATAAAGTTTTGTCGTTTTCCGATATGGACCGTTTCTGATGACGCTGAGCATGAAACTCGACTGTAAATGAACTAGACAGCACCTACTGTCATCCTAAAACATCTTACTACACTTCCATCTAGTTTCTGACCAATAATCGGCCCTTTATATTCGGTCCCATATATGTGATGTATCGTGAGGAATATGAGAGTCGCAAATCTATAATTTCACTTATGACGTCACTGTGACGTCATTTGAAATGGGGTCGACACCAAATTTGGACACAACCTCGGCTAGGTATTCAGGAAGATGTGTGCAAAGTTTCGCTTCTCTATCTCTTCGCGTTGCGACGATATCGTCGCAGAAGTAAAGGGGGGGGGGGGCAACTTTATGCCCCCCCCCCCCCCAGCGGCCGGCGGGTGGCGCGGAGGCCCAGCGGCCGCCGGGTTATAATGGAGAGGCCGCAAAATTGACCTGACCTTAGGTCACCGATATCAAAATTCCGAGATATACATTTTATAGATAGTGTTGCTCTAATCAATCGCTGATAGTTTCAAGGAAATCGTTCAGTCGGTGTAGTTATGACGAACATTCTTATTTTTTCTGAGGTGAGGTCACTTGGCGTGACCTGGTGACCTGACCTAAGGTGACCTGGGTCTGAAGTTTTCACAACATGTGCGGAAAAGATGCACGAACAGGTGTGCCAAAAACGGCGGCGCTCCTATCTGCGAAAAACCGCAAGGGGGGTGTTCAAACTCCCCCCCCCCCGGCCCGGCGCGGGTTAAAGCATTGCTCTTGCTCACAAGCAATGCGTCTTTTTTATTGAGCTAGACCCGGAAACCGACATTACTTATTGCACCAAATTTTAAAATATGACGCAATCCAGTCAAACGCAATCAATCAACTGCTGACCTTCTCCCTGGCAATTAGGCAGCTTTGTTGCGTCTGCGTCTGTCTTTCTTTTGACGTAAGCGTGACGTACCTGCTCGGCCCTCACAATGGGTCTCTGTGTATAAGACAGTGGGATCTGCCCCGCCCCGATGGTCCCCGCTGCCGACCATGCGTTGTACACGGGGGTTTGTTTGGAAGCGCACCGTGAATTGGAGATGGATGTGTCGAGATTTTGAAGGAAGGTTCCATCTCCAGCCTTTGGATGAATTGACTAGAAGACGAGAATCTACCCGAGCTTGAGCCTGGCTTTGGGTTGAATGGCCGACGCAAGTTATGCACGGGAAAGGACTGAAGAGCTTAGTCTGCGTTTGTTGTAGAGTATGTAGATCACGTTTCCCGGCATTTGATGTTATGAGACGTTGCAATTATGGACCAAGAACTGAACACAAATGTGATCACTTACTCTTCAGCAAACGGAATCACCATCAAACCATCAAAACTGTCAACAGCCCACATGTATCGATATACATAAGTGTCCAATTCATAGGTGCTTTGTCTTATTTGAACAAAAGCCGTACGACGAATGGCAGTTTTTCATGTAAATATAGGGCATTGTCCACTGTTATGCAGTGAAGAAATGCTCATGCTACCAACTATCCAATACGCAAACGAAAACAGTTTCATCTGTTCTAAAGGTCGTTGCACGCCACTCCAGACCCAAAGCAGGCGAGGTGCTGTCTGCGTGTGATGTGTGACCGCCACCAGCGCTTACCACCCCGCGTTTCCCAGTGTTTGACATGTTGTTGGCGCCACCTTGATGCCCCTGATAACGGGTAATTTACCGACTGCGTATCTAGGTCGGCAACTTGCAATCTATCATAATCATCATAGGAATCCACAATGACAAGACGTCGGAACGACAGAACTGACAACGGTGGCGGTCGCTTAGTGAGGAGTGGGTATGAGGAAAATTGTGTGAATGATATCAAGCAATACATCTTCTGTGATGATGTGAAAAATGTCATGCTCTGATTGTGTCAGTCTTGCACTTGCAATTCCTGATTGCTTATCAAACTTAGATACACATAATAAGCAGCCAGGGTCAGGGACCTCTGGTGGTATTATTTGCCTTATACACGTAGATACAATATTTTGATAGAAGGTAGGTATAGATGGAGCGCCAATCCAGGACATATTCGGAGTTGTGGTCAGGTGCATAGCTTCTAAGACTGCGTGTATGCATGACTTGCCAGTTTTGACCAAATGGAACTCGGCTGTAGATGAACGGGATGTCAACCTGAATACCTTTCCCGGCGTTTCCGCACATGTTGTAGGCCTTTCAGCCCCAAATTATCAAAGTGTACGTCATTGTAACACGACAAGTGACTTCACTTGAATAAAAAGTACCTACAATGTTTGTAATTATATCATTATAAATGTTTTTTTTTTCACTAGCCGCACTGACATCTGACTGGACAATTGCTTTGAAACTGTTAGCGATCCCCCGCCTTTTTTGTACAGGGAACTAAGAGTTACAGGGAGCAGTGATCTTCCGCTTGCGCCCATAAATTCTATATTTTGGACTGTTCGTAAGGGTCACATGGAGTCAGGTTGGTCACGTAACCTGACCACGTGACCTGGTCAGGTCAGGTCAGGTCGAGGAATTATAGAAACTGTTATACATATTGGCACCGAAAATGATCAACAACTCCTGGTCGAGTTGAGCTAGCGAGCCGGGAAAGCCAAGAATGAACTAAAAAAGACCTGTGGAATCGAATTGCATGTAATATGTTTTTCTTCGATAGCTTCGTGACCTGAGCGGCTTTGACCTGTCGTTGACCTCGGGTCAGCACCCTTAGTTGACTTTTTCAAACAAAGCAGATAATACGTCGTCCCAGATGATGATTAATATGATGTTGCTAAAAGCACGGTTCTACGGACAGTTCTGACAAATATATTTATAAAAATATGGACTTGACCTCAGAGGTCACCGACTGACCGGAGACCCTCAACTTTGGTACCAGTTGCTGCGTCTCGTAACGGCGCATACGTTCGTTTTTTTCGCGAAGCTCTAGCTCGGTTATGAGTAAAAAACGCGGGGATTCGCGAACATTTGTATCCGCGAACAATAAATGAACGTTCACGAACTGTTCGCTGTTTGCTCATTAAAATGTGGCCGATGATGTCACTCGTTCGCGAACACGCCTATTCAAGAGCAGTTTGCAAATGTATGTTGATTAAAAAAAAAAAAAAAAAACGGTAATCCCTGGGCTAATCATATAACTGATCCAGATCATACGTAGGTTCTCACGCAAACTTGCTTATATTATGAACTGTTGCGTGTGAATTATCGACTGATCTGAGCGACAAGCACATACTTCACTGTATGCATTCCGCATTTTATTGAAGGTTAATTTCAATCGCTGCCAGCTATGAAACGTTAGGTTTGAACGTTATCCAATTAGGCGAAATTGCGGAAATGGTCGTGATTGAAAGCCCTCGATGCGCGATTGACGATCAATTACGTCTACGCTCTCATGCCATAACAACGTTTAACAATTATTGGATCGTCACGAAGTTGCCACATTCGTCAGAACTCAGACATATCACGACAACCTGCGTACGTATGTGACGTAGCCTCCTCTGCAACCCTGATCCTTGAGCGCCCTATACGTCATCTCAACACGACCCACTTCCTCAATCAGCCCGTTCGACTCGCCCCCTCTCCCCAATAGCGCTCCGTGCCCCCTCTCTCGCCGGCCTGACTGCCCGTTCATGACTACTCTGATGAGCCCCCTCAGCCCCCCCCCCCGAGCCGACCCAGGGCGGACGGCTGGCGTCGTGGAAGGGAGCATCCTTGACATGGGGGCGGCCGGGCGCTGTATAAAAGTGCTGGGGAGCAGCACTGGAGCACAGTCCCTGTGGCAGCGGTCACAGATACAGGCAGCTACTCGCAGCGGAGATGAAGGTGGGTACAACGTTTGGACGGTGCGGAGATCGGCGAAAGAAATAGGAATGGCTAAAAGTCACTCACATGTTCTGATGCTGCACTTTTCTAGTTCTTTGATGATATCGAATCTCTCGTTCTAGAAAATAACCGAATCCATCAACTTTCTCATCTATAGTCAATTTGGATGCAATTTTACTTTCAAAATATTTTTAGCAACTAAACGTCCTCGATTTTTCTTCAAGTTGCGAAATTTCGCAATTTAACCGTAGGTACACCTAAATTCTCTTTTAAACCCAAGTGCCTGAAGACCGTCAGACCGAAGACCAGTTGAACCCAGACCAGCAAAAATGATATCGGTTCATTATCTGACCAATCACATTTCCCTACTTTATTTTAATGTCCGAGGCCGAGCAATTCGATATTGCTAGCGACAGATGAAATTGCAAAAATGTTTGAGCTCCATTGACCATTATTATGCACCATTTTGACTGTTGAGCCAAGTGCTAGATACCTTGGATCCATGGTCGATCCATATTTCCGATTGAACATTTCATAGCGACATTTCAAATACAACCCGTCTAATTTCAAAAAATTATTGTAAAATAATTCATCTCGACATAGCCCATTTCCTAGCGCCTGTTTTGCTCTGATTTATTCGTAATTCATCCGTAACTTTGTCATTGGACCGTAGTATAATAGTCACCAATGCCCTGTGGCCTGAACCCTAGTACGCTAAGACTGGTGCCCTTTAGGTTAAAGCCCGGTAAAGCACTGCTAAGAAAGGGCGCTATTATGCACGATTCAGTAGGTACCGGTGCCTCAGTCTTTCTGTACCAAGGGTCGTTACCAGGAACGGTTGTACCGCGTACCATATCTGTGCCACCCTGCTGCCCGTACCACCACCAGTACCGCTCCCTGTACCCCATCTATACCGATATTCTCCTCTCCACAGCTGCTTCTCACTCTGACCGCCGTTCTGGCGTGCGCCGCCGCCAACGTGCGGGTCCGTCGTGGCGACTACAGCACCTTCACCGGCGACGCCAGCGCCATCTCTGCAGGTGCCGGTGGCGCCCTCTCACCACCCGATGGTGGCGCTACCTCTGTGTTCGGTAGCAGCCTGCAGGGCCAGGGTGCCTTCGGCCAGGCGAGCAATGGAAACGGACGCCAGGATTATCCTGGATACAGCACTCAGGCCGGACAGGCCAACGGAAACGGTGCCAATGGAAACGGAAACGGTGCCAACGGAAATGGCAACGGTGGACGTCAGGACTACCCCGGATACAGCACTCAGGCTGGCAATGGAAACGGAAACGGCAATAGCAACGGTTTCGGAAACGGTGGAAACGGCAATGGTAACGGTAATGGGAACGGTGGTCGCCAGGACTACCCTAGCTACAACAATGGTGCCAGCCGTCTCAATGGGAATGGAAACGGTAATGTTAACGGTAACGGCAACGGCAATGGAGACGGTGGTCGCCAGGACTACCCCAGCTACAACGGCGCCAGCCAGCCCAGTCGTGGAGTGAACGGTGGCAACAGGCGTGCCCAGATCAGCCGCGGAAACGGCAACCGCAACGGAAATGGTAACGGCAATAGAAACGGCAACGGCAACCAGGCGTACCCGAGCTACTCCCAGAACGGCAGCTCTCAGCGCGGTGCGGCGGCCGCACGGCCTCAGGCTCAGTACGGCGCTCCCGCCACCGGAAACCGTGCCAATGGCAACGGAATCCGCGCCAACGGCAACGGAATCCGCGGCAATGGTAACGGAATCCGCGGCAACGGCAACGGAATCCGCGGCAATGGTAACGGAATCCGCGGCAACGGCAACGGAAACCGCGCCAATGGAATCCGCGCCAACGGTAACGGAAACCGCGCCAACGCTCAGTATGGCGCCCCCGCGGCTGCTGCTGCCCCTGCTGCTTTCGGCGCTGCCCCCGCTCGTGGTGGCCTCTCCACTGTGTCTTCTGCTGCTGCTGGAGGCGCTGCCGGCGGTCCTGGCGCCTCTTCTGCCTTCTCTTCAGCCGCCGCCGGACCCTCGGGCTTCTCCGCTGCTGCAGGAGGCTCTCCTGGAGCCGTGTCGAGCGCCTTCGCTGGAGGTAACGGCGTCGGAACCGGTGCTGGTTTCGGAGGAGCTAACGGAGCTACCGGAGCCAATGGTTTCTCGGGCGCCGCCAGCGGCCCCGCGCCCGGCGCTCTCCCTGCCGGCTCTCCGGGCTCCGGCTCGGACCAGTACCCTCGCCTGGGAGAGGGCGAGCCGATGCCTTACGAGTTCCAGTGGGCCGTCCTAGATCCGGAGAGCGGTAACGACTACAGCCACGAGGAGCGTTCGGATGGGCGGCGCGTGGATGGACAGTACCGCGTCCTTCTGCCCGACAGCCGCATCCAGACGGTGACTTACTACGTGGAGGGCGACTCGGGATATGTGGTGGAGATTGAGTACGAGGGCGAGGCTCAGTTTGATGACGTCACTGGAGGCGATGGAGCTGGAAATGGACAGGCGGCCGCGGGAGACAATGGTAATGGATTCCAGCAGGCAGCGAATGGAAATGGTAATGGTAACGGTTACCAGCAGGGAGGTAATGGTAACGGCTTCCAGCAGGGAGGTGTTGGAAACGGCAACGGCAACGGATACCAGCAGGGTGGAAACGGCAACGGATTCCAGCAGGGAGCCGCCGCTGGAAACGGAAACGGCTACCAGCAGGCTGGTGGAAACGGTAATGGAAACGGCTACCAGCAGGGCGCCGCTGCCGGTAACGGAAACGGTTTCCAGCAGCCCCAGGGTGCTCCCAGCCGGTCTCCGCCGCGTAACAGCTACCTGGCCCCGTCCAGCTTCTAATGACGTCATAAAATTAAAGCAGATGTAAAAAATTACGGCAATGTAAAGTCATAACTTTTTTTCTGGCAGCAAGGTTGAACATTCCTAGAAAGATAATCTATCAGAGGAATGACCACGGATCTTTCCAGTACAGATGACTCACAAAGGTGCTCAGATTGGTATAATTTATTGTGCGCGAATGTTTATTTTCCTTTTTAATGTCATCTCTCACCACAAACAGTCATCAGCGCCTCGTGCAGTAGATTGTGTCAGCGTGTCAGACATATTGTGTCAGCGTGTCAGACATATTGTGTCAGCGTGTCAGACATATTGTGTCACCGTGTCAGACATATTGTGTCAGCGTGTCAGACATATTGTGTCAGCGTGTCAGACATATTGTGTCAGCGTGTTAGACATATGGTGTCAGCGTGTCAGACATATTGTGTCAGCGTGTCATTCTGGCTTTGAGTGAGTGAGTTGTCTGTTGTCAGAGAGATATATGTTGTATTTATGTGTGTCAACTGTCTGCACCGATGACATTTTGAACAGATGTGTTTCAAGTCGTACATCAATATCTGTCTATATCTCATATAATCGACAGGGTGAGCATTTATTTCCGTACCAGATGAATCGCGCCTATGTGACGATCGCCAGTTCTTGTGAAATAAATACTCGACATATTACCAATAAACTGTTGTTTTTATTCAGCTCATCAGCACATGTTGGAGCAAGCTATAGTATTTTGGAAAACGGAGCGGGAAAAAGGAAACTTTTACATAAATCAATTTAATCTGAGGAGCGAGATGCACCGAGTCAACATCATCACACGTGCTGAGTAGCTGTAGGGCGTTAACAAAATAGGTTAGAAAATTTATTTTTCACATGGCAGTAGACACAAATGTAGGTATTTTTAGCGATTTAAAGGGACCCTCCCACCTTCAAAAAAGTTAATGAATTGGCACGAAAGTGATGTCGCTCGGTTCAGAAAGAGCGAAAACGAATATCTACCAAATTTCATCGAAAAATATTCACCGGTTTTCAAGATATTAGACTTTTACTTTTGTTTACTTTTTGGGATCTCCGCTGTTCCTAGCGACTTTATTTGAAAGTGCGGCATTTGTTGCGCGCAAAGCAGCATATACCACCGCGTGCTACCAAACGTTTTAGTAAAAGATTTAAAAATCGTTAGATCTCCGCTGACGTCACAAATTCTAAGGGGGCATACCAATGCACTAGCCCCTTAGAATCCGAAAACTGCAAGTTTGAAATTCCATATCTCCGAATTAAAGCATTTGTCGATGTTGTGAGTGCCCAAACCGGTATTTGCAGGCCATGGCCACCAATTTGGCTATCTCAACTCAAAACTAATGTTAAGGTGGGAGTGTCCCTTTAAAAGGCATACCAACAGAGTGAGCCAACTGACGTCAGACCTCGTCGGATTTGCATCGTCTGCTTCTTTCGAGAAAAAATATTTGAATTCAACCGGGACAACGAAGAGGCACTGCAGGGCTAAATGTTTAAAACTCATCTTTTTTAAAACTCGAAGGTCTTTCACACGATGTGGCCTCAGTATATCGAAGATTAAAGGTCGGCCCTTGATGTCGATTGTGCTATATTTAATATTCTCCTGGATTCATTGTGATGTTGATACGATTTGAGGAATAATGCATGTGTTATTGCGTTCAATAGGAAAGTGCGTATTCTTTTGTGTGTGTGTGTGGGGGGGGGGGACTTCTCACTCCTCAGATATCTCCTCTCCACTAGACCGTCACGTGACCGCCATTAGTAGCCCGACACCGACCGCGTGTGATATCACGTGACCGGTCGGTATCTGAGAGACCTGAGAGCCGCCACTAGTCTCGGTTGGGCCGTCTACCAGAGAGGGTCGGGCGGCCGCTTCCCGGTCCGAGCGAGGTCTGGCGCCTCAGGCAGTGTTAGTGCCCCTGTGAGAGAACTGAGAAGCTACTTTCCCGGCGAGACATTGGTGTTGGGAGGTTCGTCAAACGAGTAAGTACGAGATATGGTGCCCTATTATTAACTATGGTGTTCAGTGCTAAGATCGAAAGATAGTTAATGTTAAATGAAACCTTCAATGCTACATGGTTGTAACTTGATGTGTTGAGTTTGGCCTTAGTTTGACATCGACGGATCATGTAAGGTTTATAACTGGAATGGTGATGGGATGCACCTGGGCGGGGAGGAGGTATTTCCCAAAATTTAAACCATTAAAAAAACTAGCGAATTTCGCTTCCGTACGTAATGCATTACATATGACTTTCTGTACTTACATTTCCATTTTTTCAAATAATATTTTTTTTGCGAAGAAATGCCACCAACGAATAAACGCACTAAAAGAATGAATGAATGAATGCAAGGCCCTATATACCGAATGAATGAATGAATGAATGAATGAACGCACCATGAATCTCAAGCCACTAATGCACACTTTTTCAACAGTCCAGACCGATCACCGGGTCATTCCGTTGCACGATGTTACAGTCCGTAAATGTAATTTTCGTCAGTTTGTATCCCCTAACCCGCGCCCCGTTGGGCTCTGCCGAGCAACGCGCCCGGTTGGGGGGGGGGCCATTTTGGCCCCCCCCTAAGATCTCGAGAACCACGCAACATAGCGACAAGCGGTAAACGGCGTTGGATAGCCCCAACGGGGAACTACCTTGTGACCCAATTTTATTGACCTAGGTCAAACCGATGACGTCACAGGTCAGGTCAAAGGTCCAATTTTCACCGTTTACAGGCACTTCAAGAAATGCGTTGTAAAATCGAGTAAAATGCATTTCATTGAAAATCATCGATGGGGAAATGTTCTTCAAACACATATTTTGCTATTTGAGGTCACTGATACCAGGTCAGGTCACAGAGGTCAGGTCACGGGGGGGTCACAATATGAAAGTGTCGTGTGATACATGTTTTATGGTCCATTTTACATGACAAATGCGATTATATGGGTCAGGCAGCCTTTGGGGCCAGCTTAGATCACGTTTTGGTCAAGGTCAGGTCAAGGTCAGGTCAAGGTCAGGTCAAATTAGGTCAAATTTCAAAGTTAATATTTTTGCATAAAATGGGTATCGAATCGATGCAGCTCGTCACGGGGAGTTCAATGGTGGTCTTTGTTTTGCCGTACGAGGACTAGAATTGCTAAAAATTGAGTTCAAAAATTTGACGTCATCATTTTTGAACAGTTTTTTCGCTATAACTTGGCCAAAAAACGAGATATCGATCTGAAATTTGGTATGTATATAGAAGAGCGCTGGGACTATCACATATATTCCGGTTTTTTCGAAATTCGGAAAAATTTTGGATTTTTTCAAAGTTTTTCTAAAAAAATCAATTTTTTGATTTTTTTTGGGTCAAAAAACAAAAATTTTGAAAATCCGAGATAGCAGTTTTGTAGCGCCGCCTTTTGTCTACTAGACCATATAAAGAACTTTGAAATTGCTTGATAACTGTAGATTTGGTGAGCGTTTCAAGATTGCATGTTTTTTGCTCATTTTTGCTGGAACATGACCTCAGTTTGACCTCAATAACTCCTGACCTAAGGTGACCTAAGACTTGAAATTTGGTGTGAAGGTGTCAAATTGATGCCCGGGAAGGTACTGAAAATTTGGCGGCGCTGCGCGCCGCCGTTTTCTTGCTATTCAGGAAAAACCACAGGGGGGGGCCAAAATGGCCCCCCCCCCAACGGGGCGAGGGCTAACCTACGACTGGATGCAAGATTTCTGCACACCGCGTCTCATCCTAACCCCGGCTGAAATGAAGTGCAGCGCGCTGCGCAGCTTCAGAGCGGATCAATACACTGCTGACTACCGGCCTGGTCAAACTGGAAAGAACCACCTCCGGGAAACTGGGAGAGAACCAAGTCTCGGCACGGCGACCCGCCACTGGAAATGGGAGAAATTTCCAAGAAGGAAGTCCTCTGCTTGGTGCACCTTGTAGGGGCCGAGGTCTCTTACGGTACGGGTAGTGACTTGTGTCTAATAAAACGTAGGAAATCTACCTCTGCCTGTTTCCAGTTTTTTTGGTGGTTTGACGTGGCGTCACTGCATACAAGCTGGAACCAGAAAAGCATGCTTACCAGCTGATGATAAGCAGCGTATGAGAAGTCTTGGATCGCCAGCCACCTCAGAGGAAACCAGTCTGATTACTTCATATTACGAAAATACGAAATACCTATAAGAAAATATTATAAGACGAAATGAAAAGAATATATAATGGAAATAGAACGATAAGAAATCGAAACATACGAAATAAGAATAAGAAATATAATAGAATACATAAATAGAAAGGTGTTCATTTGAAATTGGAAACATGAAACTCAATGGGGAGACAAGCGAACCACTGAATATTGACTGGACGAAACCGGTAGGCGGTAGCCGTGGTCGGTTAGCAGCAGAACGTGCAATATGGCAGCAGTTTGTCGGGCGGCGACTGGTGCCTAGATTCGACTGGAGAGAACCACTTCGGGTTCAGGTTGAACAGAATCGCCTGTGATGCGGAAAGAACCGACTCCGATAGACCGGAAAGAACCAACCCCTGAAGACGGGAAGAATTATCACCGGAGTCAAACCGGAAAGAACCAACTCCGGGAAACTGGGAGAGAACCAAGGACGGAATACAAAAATAGAACAAACCACCGTCAGGGTTCAAAACAGCGTCACTGTAGTCCATAGTCTACACATGGATTAGGAATAGGTACTTCATCCATGGTCATTATACATAGTCACACCATCTATCGGAACCGGCCGCGGCGCTGACTGTCCTTGGCTATAATGCCCTAATCTATAAGAGAAAGTCGGAGTGTCGAAATAAAATTTTTAATTTGTAGTCATGTGTGATGCTAAATTTCTAGGAAGCTAATTTCAAGTCTTTCTATATCCTATTCTTTTTTACCCTCCCATCTTTCACTGCAAATGTAGTGCTAGTTACCAATTTTGTGAACTACTCGTTGTGCACTTCTCTTCTCTTCATCATTTTCTTATGCTCGTTTCCTTTTCTGTTTCTGGCCGGTTCGAGGAAATGTCACACTTGTGGGGGGAGGCAGCCCCGCCTCACATCTGGCCCGGCTCACAGGTTTGATATGTTGGCAGTCCCGCCTCCTCGCGATAAATCGTATTCCGATATTCGTATGAAGTTGTATTGTGTTTGTATATTCTGTAAATGTTGACGCGCATTTGAATGGTTGTACGCACTGACTGATCTTATTCAACGAGAGCCATATCAACCTCCCTATAGAGCCATATCAAATGATGCACGTGTTTGTACCTATTCCGTCTGAATTGGCTTTGTCACGCCTCATAATTGGTTATTCTTATTCTGATGACGATGCAATATCGAAATATATAAAGTTATAATTTCATTATACCCATTTTGCAACATGTAACAGGAGTAAAAGGTTATTCATTCTCCTTACGTTACTAACCATGCTCAAAAGACAGTAGGTACCAAAGCTTATCTCAAAGCAGATGCTGAATGGTGTAGGATCCATATACTTGTATGCATCGTGGCTTTTACATCAAAAACCAAATAATTTGCTGAAGAACAATACTTTCACGTTGAATTCACGTTGCTAGGCATGACGCTAACACGTGGTGGTCTTGATGGTGAGATTAGGTAATAAAATGCATCACCTGTGTGACTGCAGCGTTTATCCTCAGTTCCGTCACTCCTGACAGT